TTTATTAATCAGCTCCCATGTCGGCAATGCTAACAGATCGGGATCTGGTTAATGAATGTTACATTACACGCTATCAGCGTTCGCCAGGAACGACAATATATCGTCGGCGAAAGTATAATATAAAAATTCGTTTCATTAATTATACAGTAACAGCTAATCAGCCAAATATTATAAGGTGAAGGAATGAAAAGGAAACAGATAAATTTCCCAAAATATTCGTGGCCTCGTGTAATCATGCAAATTACCCGTAGAATATCGGGGACGTCTGCTTATTTTCACCGAGACTCCGATATTAGGAATTCCGCGCGATAGCATATTAATTACGCTCTTGACGTGGATCTGAGACTAATAAAAGCACTTCATTTACGCAAATAGCATTTATAATTAATTTTAATCATGCCCACCGCCACTATGCGCATTCTATATATAGAGCGTTGCTTTCGTTTCGACTTTCGTATGTCAATTTTGACGCGCGTGGCGAAATGAACGTGCGAAACAAATGCGGACCGACCTTACGTTGAGTATTCTCGGCATCGACAAAAATTCGCACATCTGATATTATCTATTTATTAATACCGAATGCACGAGGTGAGAAAGAAAGAGTATCGAGTGATATCGAAATGATATTAATGGTATCCGATATACCGAGAAGCAAAACTCGGTTCCGCGATATCGAGAGAGAGAGAGGCCAATCTTTTCGGCCGTTCGAGTGCGTCAGAAAAGTCACGGTTCTTTTATCGGTTGTTCGCTCGATTAACCATAGCTAGAATTGACAATCAGCGGGCGCGTATTTTTCTCGCCCCCCCCCCCTCTCTCTCTCTCTCTCTCTCTATCTTTCTCTCCTGCCGTTATCGTCATTTCACTCGAATTTCACGTAAGCCAAGACTGACGCACGGCTCGAACTAATCAAACATTGGCCCACATGAGCAGTGGAATTATCGGCGAATTAACATAATTCAACGATTCTTCGCGATAACGAAGAAAAGAGATGGTGCAAATTTCGTACGTAACGTGCCGAATGTTTGTCACGCAAATATCGATGTATTTACGAACGATTAATTCAAGAATTCGATTCGATTAAATGCTCGTGGAATGTTACCGAACGATCGCAAAGTTTTATCGATGACGAGCTGAACCTGTCTTTGTCGTATCGTCAAGGTTCTTTTTTTTCTGTGACTATATCCGACACAAGTATTATCTCCTATCAATATTCTACCTGTTATCGTGACGTGCATACAACACGTTATGATTACAACACATATTATGCTAATATTAACGCTATCGTTATTTATTTGTACGGTCAGTATCGGATTGTTTGCGATAATTATCGCGTCTAATGTACCTGAATATTAGCTGCATTCAGAAAAAGAGCGGCTTGCAACTGTGGCAAAATTAAAATAATTAAAACAATATATAAAGACAAAGAGAGGCTCCAAATCAAATAAATCGTCACAATAAAAAGGTCCGTGATAAGCCAACACTGAATGGAAATTGTATAAAAGAATATGATTAATTTCGACCCTTTGTTAGAGTCTTCTATAGTATAAAAATTACTAAATTAATACTAATTATTGTGCATACGTTAACACAGCGAAGATATTGTTGTAATATATATTCTTTAATACAATTGCTTTACACATTTATGTTAGTGCCAGTGAGAAAATAAGGACAAAATTAATTATATTAAAGAATTTTAAAACAATTTCGAAGTTGCTTATCTGCTGAACGTAGCCGTTGTTTCTACGAATGTGTTTCTAACAATAATGTGTGTGTGTGTGTGTGTGTATGTGTGTGTGTGTGTGTGTAGAGAAAGACATATCCGAACACGATAAAATATTCTGAAAAAGGGAGTGTTAATTTCAAACAGTCCTATTTCTTTTACAGGTAAAAGAAACACGCAGTCACGAAGACGTTCGAATGAGTAGTGTCGTCGAAGGGATGTTTAAAGGGGAGGTTTCGCGTGCACGCGCACTCTTTGCGCACTCATGCGAATAATTTCTGTTACCGCGCCGCGAAAGTAGAAGAAGAAACAGACACGGCGAAATCCGTGCAGAAATCATTTTACGATACTTATGCGCCAACGAGATAGTCCGTAGCCCCGAACGACCAAGAATGAGAGTTTATTTTGACAAAAATCGTTCAGTTATATCATACGGGACGGGAGCACAGTCTCGAAGTCTTGCCGAAGGATAAATGCATCACCACGGGAATAGAATCAATCACGTCAACGAAGTGCATCAAGTACTCCACTCCGCGTTTTCAAGCGAGTTTCTCCTACAAAGCGAAACGATAAATTGGATTTCGCGAAGTATGGGGTGCAGCGGCGGTGGTTCAGTAATCAGGCAATCGGCATCGAACATCGTGATTGCGCGCTGAAAGCTGAAGGTAATGAATTTAGGCTGGAATGAATTTTTTCTTTTCTCCAACCAATATCTCTCTCTTCTTCTCTTTCACTCTCTTGCCCGCGCGCCGGAAAATTCGCAATTACGTAACATCACCGACCGGACGAGAGAAGGAGAGATCCCATTGCTGTCCGTCGCACTTCGGTGCAGCTGCCACGATCGCCAATGTTCTTTGCCGTGTATCGCGATAGCGTGCCATAAATCGCCCCTGACGATGCAGATTGCATTCTGATATAACGCGAGGCGTAGAGACAGGAGCGGAGGGAGTCGAGGAACAGAGACTCGCGTAATCATCGTTACTCGAGATGACCGATCTCCGCTGTTTCGTATGTTACGTACGAAGGTTCCCGAACTAGACGAGAAATCGTAGTCCACACGAAGTACGATCGGCAACATGAAGCAATCGAGAGAATAATGCATATTCACTCTATGATGAGTTTCGATACTCCAACAGAGCGAATTTGTAAATATTCCTCTCTAAATTCTTTGAAGTAAATCTCTCGTTTCCAAGAGTGAAATCTCTTTTCCGACTACTCGAGAGAGTAAATCCTGTCGTCTAACTTCGTCTCTCAATAGGATAATTGTAGTTCGCGAAAGTAATAATTAGCAATTTTAATTAATTATTACTTTAATTAATTATTATTTAAAAAAAATATTCCTTCTCCTCATCCACTTTTTCTTCTCTCTTCATCTCTCGTAATGCTTGAAACGAATTCTCTAAATCTTTTTTGGAGTAAATCTCATTCCAGAAGAATGAGTTCACTGAAAAAGATTTAGAGTTAGTTTCCAGCGTGACGAGAAATAAAAATAAAAAAAGAAAGAAAAGAAAAGTGAAAGAAGAGAAAGAATATTTTTTATAAATAATAAATTAAAATTTCTAATTACATCGCTATATATACATTTATCTGAAATAGATTTGTCGATCGTAAACTACAATAATATTGAGAGATAAAATTAGACAATAGGATTTACTCCCGAGTAGTTACATTCAATTGACGATTGAAATTGATGAATGGGTCAGCACTTCTGTCGATAAATATTTATAAGCATAATAAATTTACGGGGATTAAATTTATTGGCGGAGAGAGAAGCGTTGAAAATGGGAGAAATGACGCGATCAAAATTGTGATACGTGATTTTTTTTCGAATTAAAATGGAAATATAAAGAGCGGTAGCAAGTAAATTATTTTCGCGAGCTCGGCCTCTCATTCATGAAATCTCCGCAAAGTTGAAGTCACTGCGAATCGCGATGATGAAGTATGAATACTTCGCCTTGCGAGTTTACATAACAAATTACGATAAACGCGTTCTTTATACGAAAAGCAATCGAATTATAAGAGGAAAAGTGGATATGACGTGACACGCGTGGGATTGTATACCAGCTAAATTTGTCATCTCCAAACTTGCCTGTCACTTCCAAAATAAGCAGTCTAAACCGCTTGCGTCGTCCTTGGAGCTATCAGAGTTGTGTCAAGTCTTTTCGTAGCCGAGAAATAACTAATTCTTTGTACCAGTTTTTCGCAGCGGTAGTTTTCTAATTACATCGCTATGCATTTATCTGAAATCGATTTGTCGCGAACAATAATCCTATTAAGAGACAAAGTTAAACAACAAGATTTACTTTCGAGTAGTTACAATCATATTATCGTTCGCAGATTACCACAGTAACCAGTAATCCAGATAATATTATAAATGGATAGATGGAAACTCACATGCGGTAATGTAACAAGCTCGACCTAAGAAAGATTTCGAGCGGAATTTCAGAACACTTGTCTTTAATGTCAATCGTAGAATAAGGGCCATAACATACAAAAATTTAAACAGTAGAACGTTAAGCAGTAAGCGAATTGATCAATCACAGTAGAGATCACAGTAGAGAGTAAGATTATAACGTAAGGAATAGCAAATCTAACATGTTGATTTCCTTACTGCTTATATCTTACTGATTAAGTTTTTTTTGCTATAGTCCTAAAGCTTAATTATATTATCATGGCCCGATTTTTCATCTTCTTATTAATTCGTGATTTAAATTTAACTTTATTTGACTTGATGATAATGTAAAATTGTGTTCTTCTCCCTCACTAAACTAATAGTTTTGTACTTGTAGGTCTAATTTTTTATTTGCTGGTTAACTTATGATTAGGCTTAGCTTGAATAAAAATTGTATTGTATGTTCCTAACTGCGATTAATCATTAAAC